AAGAAAAAAACAATTGTATTTTTTTCTGCTGTGGGCCTTCGGGTTTATTATTACCCCATGTTCAAATATAAATGAACTGTATGCAGTCAATTTATAACTGGTAAGGTAGGTAAGCGTTTACATAAATAAATACTGGGCCAAATTGCATATTGTCCGTCAAATTCGTCAAAGCTTACAGTTCAGTTATAGACCTATTTTGATTTTTTTATAACAAGAAAAGTACAACATCAATTTGCACTTGTATAGTTTGTTCTACTGTACACTATATTAGTATAGGAAAATGTTTCGACCAGCTCGGAACAGTTTTTGTTTTTTCAGTGTGCGCCCGGTCTTAGTTGAACGATTCTGGATAGCTCTTTCGTTCTACAATAGATGGCGCGACTAATTGGGTTTTACTCGTTAACTTTTAAGACGGTCATAAGCAAAGGACCACGAAATTAAACAATATACTTTCAATGGCTTATGTCAGTAAAAACCGTTTTATACAACGCATCTTGACTGGAAAACTATTTTATGTATTACTAATTACACAGTACACAAAAATGCCTACAATAATCGCCATCAGATATTTTCAGTTATAATGTTTGCAATGTGCAATGACAACATTAGGCAGTTGCTGAGTCATAGTAATAAATAAATACCTCATCTCTACTTGGAAATTAAAATTTAATTTAAAATAGACGTTAGATTATGGCCGTACACATAATATATAATTATTATTTTTTAAATCTAATGTAAATTATCCATTTTGGTTTTGAACGAAATATCTCTTTTTGAACCATCCAAAGTAAACGAATGAGTTTCTGGCTGATACATTTGTCCGTCATCGAAATTAGCGTTTGCCAAAACTAACAAACATCGCTACCGTCTATAAAACCTCCACGACTATTCTTAATTCTATCGAAATATATAGTATACAAATCAATTATATTATTAATGAAATATAATATGGTAAATACATTGGTTTACAGTATAAAAAAACTAAGACCACAGTGAAAAAAAAGAAATATTTAAGATTATGGCAAAGACACAACCGTATCCGATTGTTCAAAAGTGCTTTGTTTTTATTTTTACCGGAAGGGCTTAAAATAATTTTTACTCGGAATATGTTTAAAATGTTATTTGAAAATAGTGCACGAATTTGTTTTCATTGTATTATTATTTTTTTATAGATTCATGTGATAGAAATCACACTAGTTAGATACCATTTTTTAGAAAGCAAAGAATTTTTTATTTTTATTTTAAGAATTCTTACTACCTTTACTCTGGCTAAAAAATTACAAATCTTTGTATTCTAATTGAATTACTGTTACGCGTTGAGTTTTTTTTTATATATATTGACATTTTTTAACAAGTATAGTAAACACAACATTCAACAACAAATATATAATAATACTAGTAAGATATATAACTAACCGTCAAACTCCGTAAAAAGTGCTCCTGAAGCAACCGACTATCACCTTATTTTGTGTAAAATATATCTTTATATAATATTATGTTATACCCTATAACACAAGAAAAATACACAGGTGTTTTGTATAATGTTCTAGTGTCATAATACAGACGCTATTACTATAAGTCCTAATATAATTTACCGAAAATGGTCAAGGATTTGTATAGCTAACCCGGTAATAAAGTATTATTTATCGCTGGCCATATTATGTATATTAGTATATAATATATTATCATCAAGTTCGTTAAACATTTCATGACAAGAAATAAAATATACATATTGAAATTGAAATGGTATGAAGCTCGTCTCTATAAAACACACATTCTTAAAGCAGTACTTAGTCTACAGTTCTAGTGAATTTTTTTTTGCCACTAAACAGATATACTCTATTATGTTTGACCAATTATAATTTACAATATGAGTAACAAGGCTCGAAGATGTTGGATGGGTATTATAATTGTGATCACTGATCAGTGATCGTCCATTCGGGGACAATCAACGCAACGTACATCATAACTTAACACGAGTAATAATTGTCTATGACAGAATGGTTGATAAAATAAATTATATTTTTAATACATTGTACACTTGCAACAAAGCGTTAACCTTAAACGTTATTTTTATCTCAAAACAAGTAAACGTACCGAAAGTACAACGATTTGGGTATTGTCGAGTACTGAGTACACTAATCGAATTTGGAAATTGTTCGCATACAAATTCATTAAGACACATTGTGTTTTAATCAAACGATTTATTCGTATCTGCGTTTTAATTAAGTTTCTATCTGTGTAACAATAGCTATTAAGCGATGCAGAACGCGTAGTAAAAATGGTAAACTTTTACTTAGTACTTATATTCAAAACACGTGATACATAAATATAATCTATATATATATATTTTGGATTTCATATTTTTTCGTACTTTTTTAACTAATTTTAAAAATGTTTATTATTAGATTAATACTTCACGTTCAAAACTTTAACACAATAGCTTAATTATTATGGCTACAAACAATCTCTGCAACTACTTAGTAGGTACATTTGTTTTTTTTACGCTTGCATAAATTCTATTGATAAACACTTATAAAACTTATAAAATCGATATTGTGTTATTTTTGCTTACAAATTTAGTAGGTACGTACTGGTGTTTATTTATAAATTGCTAAAACTTCTGAAAGTGGAATACGCTTGTGTGTGCGGATATGCAGTATGTCTAATGTGCAAAGGCAAGTAGATATTTTATACTAATGTTTTTCTTGGCCTATAGTATTTTGATTCTAAAAATATTCCTAAGAGTGTATCATGTCTTAAATTATAATTTTGATATTAGTATATAGCTATTGAATCTATACAGTTTTTCATCGGTGGCTTTTGTCAAACCAAAATCACATTATATTTCTCATAATTTGTAAAAAACACAGTTGTTATTATTTTTCAATTTTAAAAATAACGCAAAGCAAAAAATTGTTTTGTAAAACATTTTTATTTTTCCAATAACAAAAAAAGACAACAACTAATATTTTTCGAATGTCCGGGTATTAGAAAGGTACACGAGCTTTACTCAGTTAAAGATGAAACTGTCTAAGTGTAAACATGTATTGTTTTTGCACCTACGCGTATAAAAAACAGCTGTATAATCACACGGACGGAATATACAATATATTATCAACAAGACAATAAAAACAATTCTATATTCTGTACACTATTTCCCATGCTTAACTTTCAGTTAAAAACAAAAAAGATTTAAGTGATAAAATTCAAAAAACAACACAAATGCTCGTATTACAAAGTCCAATAAAAATTGAAATTTTTCCATGGTTTTCCATTGACTTGACGAGAATTCATGAACTAAAAATAAGTTTCCAAGTTAAAACTGTTATAAGTTTTTAGTTACAATTATAATAATATAAAATGAGAATTCAAAGGTATCGAAGATTGCTTATTATAATGGCGACAAATAGAATACAACCAATCTCTGTTGGACAACTTGGTCTTCTTCAAAATATAATAATGAATTAATTTTAGAATTATCTTTGTATTTTACTTTTATGACAGTTTTTAATATATAGTATAACTTGTACTTACTGACGACTCAATAGTAGTTCAAATAACCTTATATTTTAAATGATCGTGTTATTCTGAATCAGCTTTATCAAATTAAACTGCATATCTATGTTCGGATCAATTGAAAGTTTACTTTATAAATAAATCAAAGAACAAAATATTCATACTACAAAAAAAAAACATAAATTATTTTTGTATTGACATTTTTTTTTGTTGATAGCTTTAATGTTAGTATCCTTGTGGACCACAAAAATTATATTTTATAAAAATCCTAATAAAACTATTTAGCACATTATAGTGTACTAAGTATCTTAATAAACGATGCTAGTGGTTAAAATCGAGTATTAACTGTTATTCCATTAAATAGTATAATCTATAATGTACTTTAGAAGTATAGCAATGTTAAGCTTTGGTGGCATAATGAATTCCAATAGTATAAAACAGTCAAAATCATGACTTTTAATTTTTTAAACTTTAGTAAAAAGTCAAGATAGCTAATTAAAAAAAAATGGTTTCCAGAAACTCTTAGCTTAGCCCGTGATCTGTAATAACATGTATGATCGTTGAATTAAATAAAAATAAGTATAATATTGATTTTTAAATTAACCAGTAATGATTTTGTTAAAGAAAACATAATACTAATTTATATTACAATAGTTAAATATTAAAAAAATAATAATAATAGTCCTCTGACTACTGTTAGTAAGAGAGCTATTGTTAGTTTTTTTTTTGTTTGTTTAATTTTTATCCGTGCAATCTGTTACAATGTAGGACAATAAGAATTATAGATGTAATATTAAGGGTACAATTGACAGAATGAAGAGGTATTCCGGTTGAGGAACTGTGACAGAGTTAATTAACGATATTCCTTACATTTTTTTCCACGAGGTTACGACACCACAACCTTCTGAATCTTTTTTGGAATAAGCCAGGAGTAGTATTGACTGAGTTCAGAAATGAAAGGATCAAGATCGTCGGACTTGTTCGGTTTCTAAATAGTAATCTGTAATCACGATGGCGATTAAATTATTAACGCGATCATACTTGTACGATTTACAATAATCGTCGACATTAATCACATTACAATTTGACCAACAGTGGTGCGGGACAAAACCCACTTGCAGCCGGCTCGCGCTATTTTCGTGTAGTTCAAGACCTTATCGTTGTTATTGGTGTAATGTAGAAAAATGTAATTTCGTTAAAATTGTACGTCTGTATTATTATTATTATTATTATTGTTATTTTTACCACCGGCGAGAGGTTTAACCGAGCCCGTAGGGATGAAATCGAGATGGAACGACGAGAACCGGCGGAAAAAGTAGCAAACGGCGCTACAAGGTTTGCACTTTAATGTACCTTGAGCGTGCCGCCACCCCTATAGCGAACGCGTAGCCACCGGGCACACAAGAGTAAGAGGGTCAGCGTAGAAAACTCGGTGGCGGCGGCGGCGGTGTTGCCCATAGTATTCATGCTGCCAACGAGTGGTGACCAACCTGCAGCGACCGGTGACCAGCCTCGTGTCGCCGCCGGTTCAATGGTTGACCCGCACATCTCGATGACGGTCGTCTCGCCTGCGTTCTTATAAGCCACTGTTCTACCGTGTACGACACCACCTTCTTGCCCCGCGTGAATCGCCATCGAGACTCGCGAGGATACCATTTTTTTATTTTAAGATCGGTTTCCAAAAAAACCTAAAAAAAAAACCATGCTTCTGACCGCGGACCCGCGTGTCGATTGTCGCTCGCATCGTTATTGCCGACGTCGCCGACGTTTTCACTAAGTTACCTACGGTAGAAACACCTTTTTTTCTTCTTCTTCTAAACACCCATTAGCAGAAGACACGGTGTCCACGACAAGTGAGTAAAATCAACAATGTTATATTATATTATGATACATATTTAACCGGTACCCATGGTAGATCGATACAGTAAGTCTGACATATATGAAGCGTTATTATACTTAAATATTTATTTTACGCGGACCGTCCGAACCGGAATGAAACAGAAATCACGTTTTTGTCTGTGTGTTTGTATTGTGGTGTAACAACGACACTGTGTAAAAGCACAACAGTGTTTTATTAATTTTTGTTAATTATATCTAAAACAACCGGGATACGATATTTGCACGCTTAACTAGCGTTTCAATTGAAAGAGACTGTAGTTAATTAAAAATAAATAAATAAAAGGTTTAATGTTACCGTAAAGTAGTTTTACCTGTATACATTCAACCACAGTGTTTTGTTAAACATTATACTATACACTGTTTAAGTTAACTATTATATAAAATAGTCAACAATAGCGTAGTGAAATATTAGGTTACCTATATTTAAATTATAATTGGCAAATTTGTTAATTGCTCCGTTATCGATCCCATTGTCTAATCGCATTTAATTAGGATTATAAAAAAAAAAAACTTGGCAAGAAAATTATACCATCGTCCAGTAATCACTGGAACTAAAAAATAGCAATTAAAAAACTGGTAATTCGAAATTACACCACATCTAGAAATCAAGTATTAATAATTATACTAACAAGTATTATAGTAAGTATTATGTAAGTGATTATAGTTATAAGTATCGAGTATTTTAACATCTACGCTAATGTAAAACCAGAAGTAGCTTGTTTCATTAACACCCGCGTGTGTATTAAATGTTAATTAAAAATCTACTAGTTTGCTATAACGATTTATTATTCTGTCGAGCAAAATGTTTCTATATTATTAGTCGTTATACTTTTTTAGCATTAATTAAAGCAAATCCCTCATCTGTAAAAAATGTATAGAGTATAGACTGTAAGTGTTTGAATATATTGTGTACTAATTTATTATTGTACACATATTTTATTGAATCTTTTATAACCAGTAATAATAAAATAAAGTTTATTTGACTAAATGAATTGATTACTTCTAATTAAATATATTTTGTTAATATTTTGAAGTAAGATTATACGAATGATGTTTAGTTTGAAGCTACTTTGTAGGTAAAAATTAATTATTTTTGTTATTCCTTTTGTGCACAGATTGTAATAAGTGCATTTTTTTCGAGAAATACAATATATCAATGGATACCTAATATTGCTTACAAAAAATCTAAAATACCGATTAAATCATTTGGTCGTTAAGGCCATGTTGAGTTTTTTAAATATTAGGAAATTTCCCAAGGCATTATAAACATTCAAACGTGTCTTCAGTAAAATGTGTTTAATAAATTCACCTGTGCGTTAAGCTATCGGTATACTTACCATGTAATATTGTAGCACAAAATATGTTCTCTCGTAGGAATTTGTTATAAAACGTTTTTGGGGTGATTAAAAGCTCTAGTTATACACATAAAACCGTTCTACTCACCGTGTAAAACCAAAAACAAAATACTGACGTTTTTAGATAGCAAAAAAATATCCGAAAAAAATCATAGTAAAATAAAAGCTAAAATTAGAAATTATTGAAATAAGATAAATGCGAAAAATATATATACAAATGCCAAGACGTGAATGAAAGTGGTAAACGAAAATAAGACTTCTCTCTGTAAAAATATATTTGAAATTTATAAAAGTCGTAAAGTACCTACTTATCATTAATAAGATCAATTTATCTTTTTACAACGACATAAAAACATTTTTAAGGTTTGTTATAAAGTACCTAGTACCTACTGAGCAACTATGGTTGATAGAATTTATGCATCCAATATTGGAAAGAATTTTTCTAGAAACCCGAAAAACATTGAACATCATAATATATTATGTAAGACAATTAAGTATAGATTAAAAAAAATAATTTGGAAATAATTGTGTTAATCGATTAGGTATAAAAAAACGAACAGTCTGTCCCAAAAGATTTCAGTACATTATGCAATACTACAATATGAAAAAGTCTTAGGAATATATTATTGTCATGAAAAGTAATAGAAAATAGAGGAGTCAAATTTTTATTTGTAAACAACAAAAAAAAAATGAGAGGACACCAATAAGACATTTTTGAATTCGTACTTTTTTTCTATTTAATATTTAAGCTTATACATATAGTTAGCAAATACATATGTCTGTGTTCCTTTACATTATAGACATTTTATGTTTTCAGTCGATATGACTACGATACACGGGTGTACAATAATAGTAAGATAACTTATTCTCTAGAATAAGTTATGACCCCATAAAAGTATAAATAGGCTAAAATATTTAAAATAGGCTGAAATATGTTTAAATGCATAACAATAAATATATTTTATTCTGTAAATGAAATGGCTAACAAGAAGTTATTATGTTGTAACGTTAAAGTTTTAGAGATTGTCATGAATGAATTTAGAATTTCGAGCTAGTAAAATATATATTTAATAAAATAACGAGGGAGGCGTTAATAATAATAAATTGGTGAAAAATGAAAATTAAAGAATGGGTGTTTAAACATTTGTCATCGCAAGTGTAGTTCGAGGCGGTTGCCTTAATGGACTATTATAGCTTAAATCAAAAATACTATTCTTTTTTTTTTGTAATACTTATATTTTACCTAAGTGACAGTCAAAAATCTTTGTATATATTTTGGTTGCATCTAAAGTTTTGTCCAAAAATAAGTTTCTGACGATCCTAAGGACTTAGGTACGACAATAATATATGTTATTTTATTTTTAATAGGTTTTTTAAACTAAATTAAAAATGTTTAAAGGTATTGAAAAATGTTCGTTGTTTTTATTTAATTTGTTATTACGTTATTCAAATATTGAACATTTTCTACAGCAACTTTTTATTTGAATTAAATATGTTATTATGGTTTTGATGATAAGATTTGAACAGCAATGGCTTAAAATTTTGATCACCAAAACTATAGCTAATCCGAACAAATTAATATATATGTTTTTGGAAGTGAGCGGACGAAATAATATTTCCAGCATAAGGTTTGATTTCTAGGGCAAATGAAAACTACAAATTAGTTATGCATGTAATATTGTAGGTACAGTAGGAGGTGTATAAGCGTTTCAGAATTGCATAAAAAACGTGTAAGTACAGTTATATAATTTTACATTTTTGTATTCTACGACAATGATTCTCTTCTAGTCTTCTAAGAGGACGTTCACCCCATATTTATTCATCTTTTCTTAACGGCATGTACTCACGCGACTTGTTTAGCGGGCGACGGAGACAGGATAGCAGCAGTACAGTAGTGACAGTAGAACCGAAAAACCGATTGATTTTTAATTACTGTACGCCAATAGGAAATGTTATTGCCATTTGCCACAGTCAATTTATTATTAGATTTTTGACTTGGCGCATTAGGCAGGCTAATACGCGGTAGAGGATTAGGATCTATGTATATTTTTTTCATCCAGGTTTATACACATACACACCACACACACACATCAAAATAGCTGTTAAGCAACAACATGCTGGTATTTTTGTTTTCAACGTGTGCAATAAGTATTACACATTATTTTCCGTTAGTCGTGCATCCGCTTGGGCGGATTATTCGTATCTCATCCGTCGCCAAGTGCGGTCACGTCTAGATTGTACACAAAGACAATAGGTTCGGCGTTAACGTGGTTGCGGCGGCAATTGCCAAAACATAAACACGTGTGTTTTTAGACAGTCACAAGAGAATAGGTAGGTAGGTATTCGAGGCGTCTCGGGCAAGAAGGTCGTCCGTGGACGCGACGCTAACGTGATCGGAATGATCATCCGCCGACGGAAGGTGCTAAAAATAATACTAATTTAACGTTACAGGTACTACAATACAACAAAAAAAAAATTTAAGGCGTTGCATAATATTATATTATCTTCTGGTTTTAATCGTTTCACGCGTACCACACACGTCATTGCATTATTCGCTACCTGTGTGCGCTAACACTGCGCACGTTTCGAAGAATATAAAGTACAGCAATCGTTTAACGATAGGCGTTCAATAAATAAATGGTCGAGGCTTACGATATAATATATTTGATTTGAAACAATATATTGTATTACTCGAAAAAAAAATCAATCGCACATATAAGAAATAAAAAAAAAACACTGGGTTTAGGTCGTCGAGGGGAAGGAGCGTATTGATGGGGAGGGAGAAGGCCACAAGTCGTTAGAAATTTTTTTTAACTAAAATTGATTAAATATGATTTTAAGAAAAAAAATTTTACCTACGTGTCGTTTACAAATATCGATAAAAGCGTTGAAAAGACAGAAATGTACTTAAAAACTGTATTTTTAGTATTAACGTTGATCTTTGACGCAACTAGAAGGGGGGGGGGCTAAGAAAGATTGGACTCTTAAAAACCTCTGTAAGTGCCCTCAGAATTTCAATAAAAACTATAAACCTTACTTGGGGGCTGTGCCTAATTGTGGTTGCTGATATTTTTGTAAACCCTGAACGAGTTTAGAAGGATTTGAACTTTCCTAGCTCCTTTTAGCTCCCTATCTTCTCCTCTCTAGTTGCACCAATGGGGTGGATACTGTTAGGGTTGATCGTCTGTGTTATTTGTACCTTTTGTTTAGTAATACGTTATAAAAGTTTGATTACAGAATTTTCAGAAAACTGTATATGCCTCACTCTAAATCTACTTAAAAGACTTCCGTAATCTGTTGTGGCCAATGAATACTTATCGAAGACACTATACGTTTTCTTGTACCAAAGGTTTCATTTGTTCTTAATTTAACCATAGGTACTATATTATATTATTTGCTTGTACAATATTATTCGAATTAATTTACTTAAATTAAGACTACAATTGAGTTGACCAATTATAATTTATTCGTTGTCTTACATGTTTAATAGATCAGTTTATTTTACAACTTAATGTACATACAAAGTTTAAGCCCATCGCAATAGTAACTTATAATTTCGAACGGGTACGCAAATATCAGTTTTAATATATAAAGAATACTATAAATTGTATTTACTAATACAGCATAGCACCGTTTAACTGAATTTATTTACAAATTACAAAATTAAATTTGTTAATTAGATAGCGCAATGAAAATATGTATTATATCTATTTTACCACATTTTTTTCGAATAGATGTTAATAGGCAAAATAACATAATATTATAAAGTAGAGAGCTAGTTGTGTTTGTCCTAAAACTATAGAACAAAACACACGGTAGGCTCGTGGGATGTATGAAATCAGTTGTTATAAATAAAAACATAGTTGCTACTGTTGATTAAATTATCTCAGACAACGTTGTCGTACCCGCCTTTGGCTTTTAAACAAAATTTTATTCTATCCCGGGGGGTGTCGTTATAAATGGATTTTCTTATGTTCTCCAACATGTGGGGTGAGGGGAGGGGGTGAGAAATAGAAATTACGACTGTTTGCACCAAAGCCGACAGTTTCTTATATGGTTAGACCAGTTACCGAGTTCCTATGGTAACGACGTTCAGCCGCAAAATGTATGTCTAATAAGATACAAATTACAATGTTATTTATTTAAAAAGTACAACCTACCATTATTTCTTGTCGGAAAGATGTAGTTGACCGTCCAACGATGAACATACATATAGTATAGAATTAGGTACGATTCATATGCCCGTCGGTTGATTTTGATCGATATCCACCATCTCTTTTAACAGAGATACTCTATTTAATTTTGTCTTCATTATGGATATTAACAACCGAAATCCATCCAATATCTTTAATTCTGGTTCTTTCCCTATCAAAACCTCCATCATTGGATTAATTTTAAGCGCTGGCTTTTATATTTAATTAGGAGTATTTACAAGTGGTATAATTTGTTCCCTTGTCTCATTGCACGCGGTCTGTTTTTAAGGATTTTTGTAAAGGCAATATTTAAGAAAAAAGAGGTTTTAATAAATATCAATTTGTATAAGCTTCCAGGTATTAATTTTTATTTAAATAATTTTTTTTTGTTGAAAAATACAGAAACGTAGTACCTACATCAATAGTACAATATGCGAATAAATAATAAATAATTACTTTTGAAGTTTCCAACGAATTATTTCTAAATCCGTTTGTAGTTAGATTTTCCACTGTATGCAACGTACAACTTTCAAATTGAGGTGGTGGTCGAGCGCCGTATGCCTGTCACGTAGGTACATTAAAGGTTATCACGGCCTTTGCGCTAACAATAAATGGGAATAATGAATGTTAAGTGGAGTGAGAAAAAATATATTGGTGACAATACGGTGAATATAATAAAAGAGGAAAATCGTGATTGAAATTTGAGTATAGTTGTTTTGTCGGCAAAAGTGTGGCGTGCGTTGATTTAATAATTACTACATTTTTTTATTCTTAAAAATCAAAAGGTAATGGGACATAAATGAAAATGAAATACAAGTCGGTAGCGTGTGCTCCCAACCACGGTTAATCCAGAAATGTGATTTATTTTGTAATTTTATTTATGTTTTTCGATCCGTGCGACTTCGAGATAAAGATTAAAACAAAATCTTCTAGTAAATTATTATTTTTCTCCGACCGCGTGGGCGTTTTGATTAATACTTTTTAAAAGACAGTAAACAACGTTAAAGCTATATTCTCGGTAAATGGATCGTGTTAGCCTTTTCAAAACTTTTAGAGATGTCGGGGTTTGGGATTTTACAATGAATTTGATAACAGTCGTCTGTCGTGTGGGGGAGAAATGTGAACAGAAGATTGAATGGAAACGCATCAGTGTAGCGTCCAAAAATATTACTCAAACCACTTTCACACGTGGTTTGGCGGCTCAACTACAATATTGACCCTTCGTTTTTGATATAATACTATCATATCATACACACACACAACATACATGTCTACTTAATCTGTTAAAAAAACCATATTTATTTTATTTGTTTCGAATAATAGAATTCCTGTTTGTTTTCAGATCTAAAACAATGTACGGGCTACTGTTAGAAAACTTGTCGGAATATATAAAAAAAATCTATGGCGAAGATAGATGGGAAGAAATCAGGCGGATGGCCAACGTCGAGCAACCCAGTTTCAGCGTACATCAAGTGTACTGTGAGACTCTTATACCTAGGCTGGCCAAAAAATCACAAGAAGTAAGTTACTTCTTGAATGCGGTAACGTTTTAAATATTGTACTACTGTTGCCATTTCGTTTTTATTTCTCAAATAGGTATTGGGCATAACTGAAAAAGAGTTTTTCGAACAAATGGGAGTACACTTTGTGAGTTTCGTCGGTCAATACGGATACGACCGAGTGTTGTCGGTTTTGGGAAGACACATGCGAGACTTTTTAAATGGTAATACAAGTTTTATTAAATTTAACGTTTTTCACTAATAAAACATTTCATCTCTGTGAAAGATGTATTTTTATATGTTTCTTGATGTTGACTTGAACAATTTGCGTTAATAGTCACAGGCTTTCTTAATCTAAAGAGTTGTGAGTTGTAGAGGAATAGCACTAAACACTGAATACAAATTGCTATCAATAGTAGTGATAAAAATATTAAGAATATATGCAGAGTAGGAAGAAGGAAATTACTAAAGTTTGTTAAATACAATTAAAAATACAACAACCACAGATCGCATATTTGACTTAAGGCAAACTATAGAAATGCACTTTGCATACGCTAAAAATAGTAGATTTAAAGCAAGTGAACGACAGAAAAATACTGTAAATAATGTAAAAATATAATATATCAGATTTAAATAACTTCGGTTACAAATAAAAAGTAAGAACTAACGACCAATAATAATTGTACGAACGGTATAACTCGGTGGTCCTCTTTGACGATGTTAAGCTTAGCACGTTACTTTGAATAGGATGAAGCAAATAATAATATGACTAATAAGTTAATTTTCAAAAATGTTTGAAAAATGTAATTTATATTATAAAAATGGAAAACATCTCGTCATTGAACAAAATTATTTTGCATCAATAGCTCGGAGGTATAAATATTGAATTCAATATGAAAAACCAAAATATAATATTATGCGTTAAACTTGCGTTGATGATCTAGGTCGCATTTTTATTAAAATTAAAAACACCGCCGCCGGGCAGTAAAATATGCAATATTTAAAATTAGAAAAATAATTCATAGCACTATGAAACCGTGTATTTACAACATTATTGTTAAAATTCTATTATGCTTGTCCAGTTTTTTCAATCGCTTACTTGAAATTGTATTTATTCGCGACGTGATCGAAAAAATAATATTTTATTCAACGATGACGTACATGATTCGACCTTGTCCAAACCGAGTAGTTTTTTTCTTCAAATGTATATGTTCTCAGTTATCCAAATCTAATTTTATGTGTTTAGAATGTATAATTGAATTATTGTTTAATTTTTATAAAAGACAAATAAAAAAGTTTAAGTTAAGAATGTAATCTGTTGACATTAACAATCTATTATTTTGGATTGTTTTTGATTAATCTGACCATCAGTCCACGTTCCAGATTATCGTTTTTTTTTCTAACAAGACATTTGGCTGATTCCTTTAAAATTTATATTTTATACTATTTTAACCTAAAATGTTTTGTTCTAGTATCTGTTGTAAAACATATGTTTGGTTTTTAATACGCATACACAGAATTAATTTTTGGCTTTTGCCATTTTTTGTATTATATTATAGCAATAATTTAATTCAACATAATTGCAATAACAATTGTATATTTTTTAACAGACCAGAAGTAAATAATAGGTACTAGTGGTTATAAGCAGCTTAATTTCAACGTTATTATTTTTGTTTGTTCTTTTTAATTTTAATACAATCATTACAACTAAATAAACTACTATATCATTTTATAATTTAGCAAATGAATGTATAGATAATAATAATTATTACCAAACATAAAATGGAAACTGTACAATATAATTATTTTGCACTCGTTCAGCACAAGATTTTTTCCAATAAAAATGTTTTGTACACAAGTAAACTAATTGATTGCAGGAAATGAGCTCAAAATATATAATGAATTAAAGCAGATGACTACTGATTAATGTTGGTTGTCGATTGATTTTAATAAAACAAACGAATCTGAATTACAAGTGTGATGGTTAAATATTAAATACGCGTGGCTTGTAATTAAAATTGTTAAAACATAAAACGCTGTTATACAATTGAAATAAGTAAATTAATGTGTTCAATTGTCCACTTAGGGTTGGACAACCTGCACGAGTACCTAAAGTTTTCTTACCCGAGAATGCAAGCACCTTCGTTCATATGCGAAAACGAATCCAGACAAGGTCTTACATTGCACTACCGGAGTAAACGACGGGGGTTCGTTTACTACACGATGGGTCAAATCAAAGAAGTGGCTAGACATTTTTACCACAAGGTAATAACATTCAAAAGCTCCATGGTCGTTTAATATAAACCGACTTGAGTTAAATCTGTATTTTATTTATTTCAGGAAATGCGAATTGAACTTGTCCGAGAAGAAATTTTAATGGATACTGTGCATGTGACGTTTCAATTGAAATTCGACAACAGAGCGTTTACTTTAGCATCGATGACAATGACAAGAGAAGAAAAACACTTACCAATAAGCGCCTCTGTGCTGTTCGAAATTTTTCCATTTTGCATTGTGTTCAGGTCGATGACAAATATCAGACGTAAAATTAATATATTTTTGCTTGATATAGGTTTTATTATGCTACACCCAATAGCTAGTAATTCGCATTTCAGATACATTTTTTCAAATAATAAGAATATAATTTACATACAAATATAATAATTGTGTTATTCAAACTTGCTGTACTGAATTCGATTTTTTATTTTTTACTATACAGTTCAAACATGATCGTCCAGAGCATTGGAAACTCGTTAATGGTCATTCTTCCAGATTTGGTGGGGAAAAGAATAACCAACTGGTTCGATTTGGTCAGGCCTTTGATAGCTTTTAAGTTTGAAATGGTAACTATTCTAATTTAGTGGCTGGGCAATAACAAGTATCAATATAAACACGCTTAGGTTAAATACATTAATAACTCTATTTGCCTAATAAAATAGATTTTGAATCGCACCAATAATATATTCGAGCTAGTCACCGTCCAAGCGGTGCTGTCCAACAGACCTTCGGAGAGGCATGTGATACTCAGCGATGAGTCTTACTTTTCGCCGGAGGAAAACAAACTTCGACTTAAAGGTATGGGGTGTGCTTTTTATGTGAGGTGTATGTATCTTATCGACTTGTTAGCTACAAAAAAGATTCATAATTGTTTAGGGCAAATGATATACATGGACAATTGGCAAATGATGATGTACTTGGGTACACCCGTGATGCCAGATCTCAATGCGCTGGTGACAACTGGTCTATACATAAATGATCTCTCCATGCACGATTTTAGCAGGTACAACATTGTGTAGACGTGGAGTTATCACATAGACGTTATTATGACACGTCAAAATCTTAAGGCATGATGAAACAATGAGTAAATTGTGATAACCCATCACGACAACTATTTGATTTCTTTTATACTTTAGGGACCTGATGTTGGCAGGAACGCAGCAATCGGTCGAATTGAAATTAGCACTCGATCAGGAGCAGTTGAAGTCGAAGAAACTCGAGGAGTCCATGAGAAAATTGGACGAGGAAATGAAACGTACCGATGAACTATTGTACCAAATGATACCCAAGCAAGTGGCGGACCGTCTACGGTCTGGAGAAAACCCGATAGACACGTGTCAGGTGTGTGTCCATTGTCGGTGAACCGGCGTTGCGAAATAGTTCATTAATAATAATATATATATATTCGTTTTAGATGTTCGACAGCGTTTCTATACTATTTTCGGACATAGTGACCTTTACGGAAATTTGTAGTAGGATCACGCCAATGGAAGTAGTGTCAATGCTAAACGCCATGTATTCCATATTTGACACGCTTACCGAACGGAATAAAGTGTACAAGGTCGAAACCATTGGGGACGCGTACATGGTGGTTTCGGGTGCACCGATGACTGAAGATAATCACGCGGAGAAAGTTTGCGACATGGCGTTAGACATGGTCGATGCCATTACGGACCTCAAGGACCCGTCAACTGGTAAAATTTTAACTGGCTATCAAAAGAAAATATAGGAGACTATAATGTCACCGACGAAAGTACAGCAACAATGCTTACGTATCGATTATTTTGTTTTTGATGCTATGCGCTAAAAAACGGTTTACCTTGTTTTCGTTTTTACACGTTTCATATTCTCTTGTGGTTGTAGGATCTCATTTGCAAATCCGCGTGGGAGTGCATTCTGGAGCTGTAGTCGCTGGCATTGTGGGTTTGAAAATGCCGAGGTATTGTTTGTTTGGAGATTCAGTGAATACGGCTTCCAGGATGGAATCCACCAGCGAAGCCATGAAAATACATATTTCGCAGACAACCCGAGATTTGATATCGGCTTCTTACACAGTTAAAGAACGGGGTGAGATTTACGTCAAAGGAAAAGGTGAACAATCAGTTTATTCCCACTCCAGTCGTGTTGCGATCGGGCTATAAAACAGTAATGTGCTTACAGGTGCCATGAAAACGTATTGGCTTGAGCACAGAGAGAGAAGGCCACCTCTGAGCCGAGTTCTACCACTAGCCAACACGGACTTGCCGGAATTAGAATGGGAGAGAAGTGCAGACGCGGTTTTCGACATCGTTGAACGAAACAACGATAATATTATAAATATGCAAGCAGCGGAGGAAAGAGCTAGAACATACTCCCCGGTAACTTTCCAAGAAGTAGCCAGGCATTCCATATCACGGTCACCGGTCACCGAGTATTATAGAGGTAAAAACTGACAACAGCTACTGGCGGGTATTTTTATTTTGCTTAGGCGCCCATTGTTCATTAACCGTTTTATGTTATTTAACTATATATATCTTTGTAGAGTCTAGATCGAATTCGATTAGCTGCACGCCAATAGTGTCGCAAAAGGAATTGCAGCGGTTATCGTTGTTGAACAGGAGCTCGTCGCCTCTATCGAGGTTCACGAGGAAAACGGAGCATCCACAGACTGGCGACCTATCTTTGGCAGCAGTGCAGAGATACAGGTACACGAGAAACAGAGGGGGGAGCATAGATTCGCAGACAACACCGCATTCGTCGCCGGAAACGCACAAGGAAATAGCTGAACGTTGGATTGGCATAACCACGGTGGAGGAAACGCAAACCGAACCGCAAACGATCACTCAGTCGGTGGCTTCCAAGCCCAACCCCGTCTTGGTTCACGTGGCCGACTACGTGTCTTCCGATTGTTGCATCGACAGTTTCGACTCGGACGACCAACAGCTAGACATGACAGCCACGGAAACGTCTTACAACGTCGAGGATCTGTCACTGTCGCCATCGCCAGTTCAGGTGTCTTTCGAGTTGCCGGACAAAAAATCGCCGACGGTTGTTAAGTCCGCTGCAGAAACGGCCCCAGCGGCGGCACAGATGACCGCGTCCAAGTCGGACGGAGAGATAGGCGAGAGACGCGACATAGAAACCGCGACGAGCACCACCAGCTTAAACCGGAAAACCCAATGTTGTATGAGCTTCAACAAGGGACATTCGAAGTCATCGTCCAAAAAAAGATCGTTATCACACTCTTGCCGTCTAGTGTGATCACCTGATCCGACGGTAATCTAATAATTGTAGGCAAATAATATAATAATATATTCTATTCGAGTCCGTATACACGATAATAATAATCTTACTATTCCTAGTCAACTAATTAACCGAAAACAATAAACGCGTTACGGTTCAAATTTTACTTATTGATTCGGTTAATTCACACCGTCGTTACTTATAAGTATAAATTATTATGCATAATATGTATTTTGTTTTCCTATGTGTGTGCATATTACTTGTTCGCGATTCGAGTATTAATGTATTACGTTTAAGTTGGCTATTACATATTATTATTGTTAATTATATTAGTGTCCTAACGTAGATTTACAATATACAATGACATTTCAATAACGCGCACCCTTTTTTCTATGTATTAATCGACGAATCCCTACGACCCTAAAGCCATATCGATTCGCCTTGTATTCTCAAAATTAAACATTTATGTGTTATAAAATTAAGATTATTGACATTTTTATTTCACCTTAAAATAAACCTCAATAACAATAATACAGTCATTATAATTGGCCTTAATTGACTCGTTTTATCAATGTACAGCTACATAAATATACTCCGAGTGGTAAAACTATACATAAAATACAGTGATTAGTGGCTAAAAGTTTTTATAGTAGTTATAAGAGGATTTATTCCAATGTTTTTTCTCATAATAGGAAACTATTATCACTATTTACAGAACGACTGAAAGATAGAGTTTTGTCAATTGAATTGGTTTCTAGGTAATTAATCAAAACTAAATCTTATAAAAAAGAACAAATTTTTTGTTTTTTTGAATTTGATTTCAATTTTTCAAAAATGTAATTACTTAACTATTTAAACTCTTCAAAAAGTTGTATGGTAAAATACTAAATGATATAAGTATTGACAATTTTTACAGCAAACCATTGCTGCGTTTCTAGTGCCGTCCTTCAGCCGAGTTATTTTCGCTATAAATAACACAATTGCTTTTCTTTTATATGCTAAAAATTGAAAATGTATTTTTCACTTTTCAGTGCGATATGGATTAATGAAAAAAAGCAAATTAATACAAAATTATAGTTTAAAATAATTATTCCATCCTTATAAATACCTGGTTATGGATATTCTGGATGATCTAGTGTTGTTATTTAGATAGGTCATAAATCGAAACAATCCACTATTTCTCTCGACTAAGTATTAACTACTAAACTTGTATTAACTTACAAAATGATTTGTACAGGTTGTGAATTTTTTAATAAATAGTAAAAACATTTTGCACAAAAACATAGAAAAATAATAATCTAGGTGTCATAGACACAATGATAACCTACGATAGATAATGTCATCGGCTTTGATTTTTTGCAAAAAGTATGATTTTGTTGAAAGCGGGAAATAACCATCGTATATAATTTACTACTATATCTACACTTTTTGCACCTATTGAAACAATATGCCAAGTGTGAATAAACGTTCCATATGGTATATGTATAATACAGGTGTTCTAAAATAATAGTACAAAACTAACAATCTAACTAATTCAGATTTTTATTTCAATAATAATTATTAATATCGCATATATTATCATTCGAACTAATTCTCGTATCTTAAACGTATCATAATGATCTTAAAGTATACATTTTAAAATGTTTTATATATATATTTATATCAATTATGTACAAAGTCAGCATTGAAAAAAAAAGAAATAATATACATGTACAAGTCAACACTATAGGCTAACGCTAAGTAATCGTTTATTAACACGAAATTAAAATTCTCACGTATCCTAAAACATCAGTTCTGCATCATAATATAAAATAAAACAAACGTTTAATAGACATCTCACTACATGACGTACATTATGCTCTAACATACTTATTTCTGTATAATAGTTATTACAATTGTAAATGTTTAAAGCAATAATATTTAAACAAAACTAAAAAAAATGAACATAATATTATCATCAATCAAATTCTGTTGAGTATCTCTAAATTATTTTAAATAATATCGTATTTTGTTGGATCAATACTATCCAAACATGCAATACAATAGTATTTATCAAACCATTATTATTAATTAAGTGTAAACATGTAAGTAATTACTTAACATAGCCTAAAACCGTAATAGACATGTTATTGATTATATGGTAACGTTACGATTATTTTTAGGTGTATAATAATAAATATAATATAATAGTTATAATAGCAATATTATAAAAAAATAATAATAAAACAAAAAAAAATGATAATAAATAAACAATTGCACAATAAAAAATAACAATATTTATAGTATTATGTACATATCATTTGAATTGTATATACAAAATGTTTCCAAGTATAAAAAAAAAAGCAAACATCTTTAATTACTTTCTGTTCTACATACTTGGTTATTTTTAAATTCATTAAGCAAATGTCGAGAAAGTAAAGTTTTAACAAGTATTACTCATCCCAACAAAAGTAATGTAACCAACAAAAAAAAATGGAACAACATAGTATAATTTTGGTGACATCTTGTTATGGTACATGTTTCCCTGAGTGTACCAATATAAAAATATAATAACTTATTTATATATTTTTTTTTTAACTATAGACGTCATCAATTTCTATTATAATTACATCGCTCACAAAATGACTAGATATTTATATAGTTATTTTTATATGATTTAATTTTAAAATTAAATTAAAAAACATCAATCACGACACGAAAGTAGATCAGCCGAACTTGTGTGTGTGTACTGAGAATACTTTGGACGGATGTTGAGAAGTTGGCAAAATTTTAAAATGAAAGTTTTGACGGTTAATTTGGAAAATATCATTCAAAGAAAAATGTCGGTTTTATTAAAATAAAAACGGGTAGATACTTAAACTACGTTTTGATTAACGGTTTCACACGAAATTAATTAAATAATAATAAAAATAAGTATATGTTGGCATGACAATAATTATTATAGTATAGGCATAATAGAAATACCGCTGATGTTCATTATTGCTCTTTGTCATCCTTGTTCTTCCGGTAGTGCGTTCGCCGGTTTCGCTTCCGGCGGTTAGGCAACTTGTGGAACCGCACGTTGCCCGGGTCGTCTGCCAGCTGAGGCCGTCGCCCCGACACGTCGTGTATGTCTTGACCCTCGTATCCGTCTACCCGGCCTCGGTTTATGAGTTCTTCCCTTTCTTCGGCGTTCCACTCGGCCCGCGCACCCTTGGATCCTGCCGCGACCAGAGTTCTTTCCGATTCCCATGCCCGTTCCACCGCACGTTTGTGTGCATGCTTCAGTAACCGATGGCGTTCCTGTTGCGGGTCGGTACCGTATCTGATGGAAATCAAAGCCTCGGCGCTCAAAAGTCTTAACTCTTTGCCGTCGGTCGTCTCGTGCGTGGTCACGTTGAACATGCCACCCAATCTCTTCAGCTCCTCCATGTCGTCGTTTTGCTTAAGAGCGTTATCCTGTGTACGTAAAAAAAAAAAAAAAAAAAACACTCGTGATTAGTACAGAGAAACTATGCTATCATCACGAAATGCCGACGTTTGTTCGTTACCTTAACGAAATAGAACAGGTCCTTGTCGTGTTGTTCAAAGTGCAAGTCCAAGAAATACGACCCGTTAAACACGGACATCACTACGTCTTGGACCACGCTGTTGTCGCCGTCCACCACGGAGATGAGAGCTAAGCCTTCGGTATTCCGGGATATCAGCACGCCCTCGCCGAATATGGACCTCTGGAACGCGACACGTGGCAACAGGTTTCTCGTCTGGGTTTCCATCTTCAAAAGTGGCTCGGGTATGAATCCGAATTCGCCGAACAAAGACATTTCCTAAACAGAAACGGGCATAGCGTTGCAAATCAAACGGTCACAAACAAAATCTACTATTTTACAATAATTACCTTTTCTACGATGCATTGAAGTCCCGACACAACGTTGAATTGCGGAGCCAACTGAGGAGAAGTGACCTTGGCGGTGGGCTGATGTAACTGCTGTCTGGTATAAGACGAACCGATCATGTTCTTGATATCGTAACCGTATAATTCCAACCAGCTGTTCAAATCTGTCATGTAGTTGATGTTTTGCGCGGTACTCGAGCTAATGGGATCGTTGTTTTGGAATCTGTAGATGAAGATGTCGGTGGGATAGCTGAGCCTAGACGACAACTGCTCCCAGTCCGGCGTTATCCATTGGCCGACCGACGGATCGTACCACTTGTGGTTCAAATATATTAGCCGGGTGTGCGGGTCTACGATACCGCCGTGGAAATCGACGGGCACGTAAAAGTCAGGATGAGTGTCCTTTCTGAGTCGACCAAACGGCGTTCGTTGAATCTCTTTGACCATGTTGCCGGTGACGTCGAACACCGCCAATGGAGATCCGTTTTGGTCGGTAGCGACGAAATACCTTTTCTCTGGCGAGTCGATAGCCACCAAGACGTCACGGTCGTCGTACATATAATGGTAAGTACGACCGGTGCTCGGATAATGGACGGCCGTCACTAGGTCCGGTCGTTGAGGATCCGTGTAAAGGAACTGGGTGACGTTTTCGCCGGCGTTGTGTATACCTAACAATCTGTTTTTGTGATCGTAATAGTAAGACACGCTAAAACGATCGCTTTCGGTGGCGTCACTGAGCAAGCCCATGTCGTTGTAATTCAAATGCGTTTCTCCACGTTTGGACACGAATCCTCTGGCGTCGTAGCTGTACAACTGCACGTCAGCCACCTGGACAAAAATAATATATTTATATTGCCAACTACTGATTTATAGCAGTACAGTGAAAAGAGATCACAAAACGAATATTGTCTTACCTGAACAACTCTGTCGCCTACGTCGTAGCCCAAAGTCAACTTTTGGCCGTGATCCATCACACCGATTATGTTTCCGTTCTCGTCATAAATGTACTTCCAATCACTACTACCGGCCACTTCGAACAAATGACCGTCAGCACTGTACGTCATGCTGTTCTGTATTTTCGTTCGGCCTAGTATGATCTTTTGCGATGAAATTCTATTCCTCACGTCGTATTCCAAATCCAGCTTGAACACGTCCGTCGACTTAATTGTCATCACCACGGCCTTGAGTCGTCCGTGGTTGTCGTACTCCGAAGACGAAAAGTATTGTTTTTCCGTGTCGTGAATAATTGTCTTGTTGAACGTGTTCTTGTAAATCGTCAAATCGCTTATGCTTTCCAGAGTGCCTAAGTTTTGATTGTACTTCAATTTCAACTGAGACAGTTCTTTGCTGCCAATCGTCACGTCCACCGCAGTGACACGAGCGTTGCCGTCCACTTGGTACTTCATGTGTGTGTTGTGCAGTCCACATTTAGCGCTGAACAGATAGCGTTCGTCTTTTATTATGCCCAAATGATAACGAATTTCGTGTTTCAACTCGAAACCGGGTTCCAATACGTTTATGTTCTTCACCAGGTTCGTGTTGGCCTGATACGTGTAATGTATGGAAATCAAACCTGCAAAATACAACGAGGTGTAATCCATTAAGTTTTAGTGTTCAGCGAGTGAGTAAACAAAAACCATTCGCCATTAAATACACTTACCGGCCAAAATAATTTCGATGTTACCGTGCTGGTCGTACAAATAGGACACACGGCCGGATTGGTGTGGATAAATTTTAGCTAGTATATTAGCGTTGTCGTCGTATCGTAACTCGTAAGGATGCGGACTGATGGGCGAGTGATACTGGTACTTGTAGAAGCCCAAAGACGTCTGTATCGAAAAAGCGTGAATGTGTCCTCTGGGAGTCGTTAACGACTGTAAAGCACCGGACTCGTCATATTGTAACAAGTAATCGCTTCCCCTCGGGGTGGTCACTTTCAGAGGCTGCAAGAGAAACGCAGCACGTGATTATCAAATAAAAATCAATAGCGACATTAGTAGAGACGCTCATGCCACTGCTATGTGTTGACTTACCAAACTACTGAACATGTCTTTGAAAACGTACAACGTGGACTTCCCGTCGGCGTACCGAATTTCGGCCAACCTACCGGCTCTGTCATAACCGTATATTTCTTTCAAGTCTCCCCACCGCCATACACTAAGCCGGCTAAATCGGTCGTAGGTAAGTTCCACCTCGGAGTACACTTTGTTTCTGTTAAATCCGTTTTGAAATTAGTAAATAAAAATCAAACGATTATAATTTTCAATTTATCTTACCTTGGTCCCCATTTCACTGGTCGGCCAGCAATATCATAGGTGATGTTCAAAAGTTCAACGTGTTCGTCCATGAATGCACCTACGGTACCACTATCCCTATCGAATTCCAAAGAAACTATGTTGTCGCCATTAATTCTTAGCTTTTTACCAACCTGGACGACTGATTTAACTGTAACACGAAACAACATTATTTCACCTGCTCGACGTATATAATTAAGTTAAAAAATAAAACGTGACGTTTACCTTCTCCGGGTTTAAGTTTACCGCCGGATCGGCCTCTCAAGTAATATCTCCATTCGAACCGGTTAGCTAAATCTGATCCAATTTCGGTTTTCAACTTGCCGGGTACGGGGTAACTTTCAGCCAGAACCGGGTTGGTCTCCATCAGAACGGCGTATGGCACGGACTCGATGGTCACACGGTTTCCCCAAGGAGTTTCCGATATTATATCGCCTTCGCTGGTGATGGAAGTATGTTTTTCCGAACCACCGAGTTTTGTTTCCACCGATGTTCCCTTTATCAACATTATTTCCGGTTGACTATCGTCGTTGGAGACCTTAACAGTTGCTCCTCTTACACTGAGATCGAATGCCAAGCGAATCAATTTTCCAGTAGGCGTCACAGCTCCGATTAATCGACCGAAATCGTCGTACGTGTAGACGTATCCTCGTCCAGCGGAATCCAACTTGGACCGCAGCAAACCAGATGGACCGTAATAATCAAACGTGATGTTGTAGTTGTCTGGCGTGTTCACTTCGCTCAGCAGTTTCATACGGGACATGCGCAAACGGCATTTTTGACCCTTGGTGTTTTCAATCGAGTTCACTTGCTGTGCGTGATCCCTAAGTAAGAACACTTTGTTGCCCGCCGCGTCCGTTACCGAGCTCAGCTTTCCGCTGCTCGTGAACTGATTGTACGTGAACTGATAACTAGTCTCGCCGGTGAGAATGTTACGCGTCGCTATGTGTTGTCCGAAACGATTGAAAACGTACAATTCCTGTGTGGTCGGCGAGTACACCTCGTATTCCCGCGTAGACGTTGCTTCCGGAGATTTCGACATTATTGATCTTATTCTGAAACGATCAATCGTGATAAGAAATCACGTAAGAAAATAAAACAAACATCCGATATAATATTTACCTGTAATTGGCTTGATCGGCTACGTGTACTACTCCGTCGGGCGACACGGTGATCGAGGAAATCGTGTTGAACTTGGCGGTGGCTGCTAAGTAATGGTCGTCTTCGTAGCAATCACATCCGCGGTCCAAACAGTTACATTTCGATTCGGCGCCGGCAAAACGTGATATTTTCCCTTCGGTACCTAATTGTATAATTTATGCCAATGTCAATTAATATTACAATCAAACGTTGCTGTTGGTTGCTGTATTTGTTTTGTTACCTACGACAGATGTTACGAACACAACGTGTGGTGAGATAGTTTAGCGTCATAATGCTACTCAACAACACGTAGTTAAAAGGGAAAACACGAGTACAAAGTTCCACGTCCGTAAAGAATAATAGCTTTTGGGATTGGATTTCCAAAACACATCATATATTTAATCCCGGACAGATTACGGCATTACCTTGCAAGCTCTCCCCTACGCGAAATACGCGACCAGCATTGAAAACTAAGTAAACCCTGTTCTTATATTGTCTCCCCTACAGAGTGATAATCGACACCGCGGGGCACCTTATTTTCATTTTACTTCAACTACCACGAGGACAAATTGTTCATAATGTAATCCAAGAATTGTTTTTTCCCCCACGTGACATACATAAATGCGTTTTTTTATTAACAAACAATGCCACTTACTTATCATCCTGATCCTGTTGGTTCTTTGTGAATCCGATTCAGCGACATACATGTTGCCATTAGGTGCGAACGATATACTCTGTGGCATCACCAATGCCGTTTGTATGGCTAATTCTTGGTCGGTGTTCAGTCCGGTTCGTCCGACCGGTGGACAGTGAATCGGTCTGCCGGCAATTACTTTCAATCGGTTGTCAGTGGTCAATTTCAAAACCATATGGTCGTCAATGATGTGTAGAGTATTGTCCAATGGGTTAATACTCAAGTCGGTTGGCCATCTCAAATGTACTTCACCGGTGTTTAACGTTCCGTCACATGGTATAGGCTTCCAGTGCGACTTATGCATATGATTACCGATCAACGTGGACACCAAACCATCTTTGTCCACCATTCTAATGTTGGTGCCATCAGCAAAATATAAAATATTTTCAGATGATATTGCAACGCCTAAAAATATAACAAGTTATTATAATATGATCAAAAAAAATGTTTTGTTATGCATTTAAATGTAATACCTTTGGGGTAGGCTAACTTGGCATCCCTGGCCAAAGCGCCGTCACCGCAATGAGCTTCGTCGCCGGGTAAACACCTCTCACCTGAACCAACGACTGGCTCCCAATTGTGGTCTGGATTGGAGAAATTATTTGGATTTTTCACTTTTAAGATTTGATGACTTTCTGGATCTGAAATGTACAAGGATCCATCCAATGGACTTACGGCTATGTGATAGCGGTAGGACACTCTCGTTACACTATAGAATACAACAGATTATGAGTATCACGTATTAGAGAATATTAAAAGGTATTTATAAGTACTCACTTCAATCGGACTACTGTTTTTACTGTTCCATCAGTCATTATTCGACGGATCAGATTAAAATCTCCGACGTAAATAGAACCATCTGGAGCAGCTGCTACGGCGACTGGAGCTAAAAGGCGTTGCTTAAGTCCACTATCACCGTCACAATCGACACATTCCAGCGGCCTTTGGTGTCCGTCTCCCATTGTAGTCATTATGATTCTAGGCTTTTGCTTTAGATAGATGTTGGAACCATCGCCCTTTTGTAGTATGCCTTCGTGGAAGTTGTAACGGTGATGGATGTCCAAGTTCCAAGAACCCACTTCAGATATGCTCATATCGTTTCCGCTAAGTTTAGTCGTTTGCACGTCCCACACGATATTTCTACAGTCGGTGTATTCATAGCCGACCTTCACTAACGCTGTGGTCACGCCATACACATTTTGCCTGTACACGTTAAGTCTGTTCCAAGCATACGTGTACTTAATGACGGGGTCCGCTTCGAAAGTCCTTTCGAACAGTATTCCTTCGATAGTTATTCTTAGGTGAATAAGTTTTAGAGTAGAGGGAATAGTGTCCGGTGTGAGTTGTAGCTGAATAGTAGATAAATAGCCTGCCGATCGAGAGCTATGATAAACCAAATTCAAGCCAGTCCCTGGAATCTGGAAACTTTCTTGGACCACCTGTAATACGATAAAAAATAACCAAAGAATTAATATATTTAAGTACATCTTTTTTTTTTGCGTTAGATATTTAATTTAGTGCAAGGGCGCTTACTTGTGATTCCGCTAAAACAGCGCTCTTGTCAGACCAAGACCCTTGAAATCCGTGTTTCCACGATGCTAAGACCACGGGTTTCATTTGATCGTAGTCGTGTGCTTTGCACGGTTGTCCACTTAATTGAATTCCATGGTCATCGCTCAACGACATCACAATAGTTTCGATTATTACAATCTATTATTATGGAAATGAAAACGTTAGTATCGAGTTATAATTAAGTACTGCAACTTTTTAATCGCAAAAAAAATAACCTCATTCCATGGTACGTTGACAATTTGAGTTTGTGCTTTAAACGGACTCCTTCCAAACTGTAAAGTCACAGCTCCGCCTCCGTTAACCAATAAATCAAACCAACCATCTTCTCGGGTTAAGGTGAAACCTTCGGGGGCAATATTCGTGCTAACCCGTACTCCCATTAAGCCCATTCCAGTGGATGTAACTACTCGACCACGAATAACAGCAGACCGGCTATAGGAAAATATAAGGGTTCATTTAGTTTTTGTGAGCTCGAGTTACAAAAATTCAATCTAATTTACTGCTTCGGACGTGCTTTGCATAAATAATAATGTCAACGTAAAAATAAATATCAAAACTAAAAAAAAAATCGGGACTTCTAATATTATAAAAATCATACCAGCAAAAAGTGTAATTTACAAGTGGATATTATGTGTTTAATTTTAATAATTTGATATATAACATTTATAGACCCTTGTTTTTATGATAAATCGTTTTTTAAATGAGTGCTAAACTGTAAAATAGTTGATTAGTTTTCATCTATCCGTTGTCTTCTATAATTTTGCAGCAATATGCTATTATTAGACAAACAACCTGTTGTTGTCTTGAATATTTTTTTTATAATTTACAACTCGTGGAGTAACATACAAAACGTCACAATTTACACAAATTAAAGATAATAAATATACATCTACTATTGAAGAATAAAGCGTTTGACGAGTACACAATACAAAGATTTTGGGATCAAAGCGTTTAGATCATGCATGCATAAGCTTAGGTATTTTACACCTATATTTTGTTTTGTTTGTATAATATTTTGCTTGCGAATTCCTAACATTATAATTTGTATTTTTTTTTTTTAAATTGTGTTATTATAGTTTAATGTTCTTCTTATATTTATGACCCACAATTACTTTTTTTTTTATTAAGAATTGCTATTTTTTTACGAAGCGAAATATAAAGGAGAAAACGTAAGAGAATAATAGAAAACACCCGAAAATAAAGGGAATTGTTTCCCTCCAAAATAATACAAAACAAAAAAAACATTCTGGGCAAACAATGGCCGTTTCTTACCTCGTGTTGAAGTGACTCCAGAAAATGCTGGAAACAACATAATATTTGAAAGAAAGCGTTAGGCTCGGTTTTTTAATAAATAAAATAAATATTAAAAATTGTTTTAGTTTTATTGTTAGTGTAATGAATATTTTTTGGTTTTTTGTTGCAAAGTTAATAGAAATTTGAATTCTTATATGTTATACAAATAAGCATAGGTACACATAAAGCTGCTTGGAAAACGTCATTTTTAATGACGAGTGCTTACATTACTTTACAACTCTATTGAAAATTGTTTTTGTAGATTCTTAGGTAAACTGAATAAATTTTTAAATTAAGTAAAAAATAATGATCAAAATGAAAGTTAATCGTTTAAAGTGTTGTAAAGCAATGCTACAGATATATATATATAATCAACGTAGACGGGAACGACAAGGAAAGGAAGTTAATTCACATGGGCACAACGCATTTTATAGAAAGATTCAAAACAGAAACATTGAAGGTTACACATACACATAAACACAGTCGTCAATTATAAGAATTATAAGACTTATTATATACGTATAATACAACGATAATTATTATGTGTGTGTAAGTAATTATTAACTTTACGACATAATTGTACTGACATCAACACTCTAGTCGATAATGTTATCATTAACTTTGATAACGGTTTAAATATGATATAAAACATAACTACATCAGTATCCTCATTCCCACCTATAGCCTATCAATTATAATTCTGTAAGGTATTTATAAATATTTCTGTCGGTGCAAACATAATGATGATAAACAAATAGCGGTGGTTACCTTTCGTTGAAGTTATCTGACCGAGCGTAGTTCTGAAGACTGCCTTCTTCGATCAGGAACTTGGTACGTTCAAAGAACGATGCCGTTATCGCCGGTGGCTGTTTGCGCAAAAGTATATCGATGGGCTTAGGAGACGACACGCAGTGCTGACTGCTGCGACACATATGACTCAAACAACATTCAGGGTCTTCGCAGTCCATAAGACCATCTAAACATCACAAGGGGTTGTACAATTTACTGTTAGAGAGGCGGTTTTCATATGAATCGAAGGTTTTGTCAATAATTATATTTTTGTTTTTGAAACGGAACCTAAGTTGAATCACCGATTTACTGACCTTTATCGTTGTCAATGTTGTCGTTGCACTCGCGCTCTAGTTGAGTGTTGCAATCTAATCCATCCCAGCCATCCGAGCACTTACACTGCCACACGTTATCACTGTTAACCCGGCACTGACCGTGTCCCGAACAACCGTTGGGGCAACCCTCCAGCGTGCAATGTTTGCCGTTCCAACCGGTTACGCACAGGCAAGTGCCGTTCTTGCATTGGCCGTGTTCGTTACAGCGGTTATCGCAGAGTTTCATGTTGCAATACTGACCAGACCAACCGACGTCGCAGGCGCAAGTTTCGCCGACACAATGACCGTGAGTGCCGCAGTCCAAGTCACAGAGTTCTACAGACGGTAAACATTTATTGTGATACCGAACCGTACAATGAACGAAAATAGATTTGCAATCGTTTTACCTTTGGAACAATCGTCGCCGGACCACATGGGTTCGCATTGACAAGTTTGCGACTCTAAATCAAAAGTCCCGTGGCCGGTACAATCGGGCAAACACTGTATAGCGTCTTTGTCCATTTCATCGCAGCTCGCGCCTTTCCATCCCTTTTTACAAATGCAAGTGCCCTCCACGCATACACCGTGTCCGCTGCAGTTAGGATTAGCACAGTCGACTGCAACGGAAAATAACACAGTTTTACTTAATTTTCCGAGAAAACGTTTTATGACTCTCTAACGGTATTTACCTTCCGAGCAAAACTTTCCCTTGAATCCCAGAGCGCACATACATTTTCCGTTGGTGCAATATCCATGACCATTGCAATCGGGTACTTCGCATTCATCATGTCTCATATTGCACTCTTTGCCCTTCCAACCGGGATTACACTGACATTCGCCATTTATGTACTCGCCCCGTTGGCTGCACAACACTGGACAAACACCTACACGGAAATACAAATGATTTTAAGATACATTCGGAAAACAAAACTACGCTCCCGCCTGCATGCTTAAAACAAAAATATGATTATCATGGAAGCAACCGAAAGCATGGCGCATTCGAATTAAAACGGCATCATAGCCAACGTGACACGAGAAGCTACAAACACACATATGTTGTTTTAACCGAGTGCAACACGTGCACGACAAAAGTTAGACATTTAAATAGTAAAACTGTTATAAAACACATTATTATGCTAGTAGGGAAACCGAAAACACATAGGACCCTATCTCAACGTTGTGTCATCAACTAAAACTAATGGCATCTAGAAAAATACAAAAATAATAGAAGAAAAAAATACTAATAATTGGCAATAAAATGATGTAGTTGACACTTACTGTCGCTGCAGTCGTCGCCTCCGAACCCAGGGTTACATTTGCAGTGACCCAGTAGACATTCGCCTTTTCCGCTACAGCCATTAGGGCAACTCAAAGTCATTTCTTGCGATACAGTTGCAGAGAACGTAACCATCGTCATGTCGCCGTCGTCGTTATACATAGATAAAAACCAATGGCCGGGTTCCAAGTAATGTGTGACTTCTTTCATAATGCTTGGCTGCAATAGAAATAATAAAAGTATAATATTATAATACAACAACATTGGGGTCACATAATAATATTGTGTTTATCGACTAAAATAGTTGTATGCCTGAAATAAGGTAAATTAAGTTTACTTACATGAGCGGATCTAGTTTGCCGGGATTTGAAACCGTTGAGCACTTCCAAAATCTCATACTGAGTGTGTGTAGGCAGTGCATTTCGGCGCCCATAAACAGCTATGCTAGCGCCTCGAGGGAAATTGTATTCAAACCGAACGTAAGCGGCGCGGGGGTGGTAAAATTGAACATTCCAATATCCATAAGGTGAAATCTCCCCGTCAATTTTTTCACCCAATGTAATTTGCGCAAACGTGGTACCATCTGGCGGAGAAGTCCTCACCGGGAACAATTTTGACCCTATATTTTTGAATTATGAAAACCGTTATTTATTGATAATATATTTTCAATTACGTTTGTCAACAAAAACGCTATGTAACATTATCGTTGTAATGTATGCAAAAATATGAAAATGATATTGTCACGTTCATCAAATTCATACTTGTGTACTTATATTGATAATTGATACACAAAATATTTGAATTATTATCATAGATACTATAGATACAGCAAAAACAATTTTCTACTATTAGGCATTTATTATAAATAAAATACAATAAACCTACTATTGATTTGATTTTTTAATAGAACATAAATTGAACTAACTACAGACATGAAGAGTTACATTCTAAAAACTAAAGTGAAAAAGTCATATACCACAACCGTAAAACAGCCCTGAACCAAAGCACCAATATATTGAACATATTTTCTACTCCACCACACACAAGTAAAATTTAGTTAAATACTACTGGTTTAAAGATCAAATACTAAAAGCGAACTATACTTTGGTAATGAATTTGTATTGGACTCGATGTCAAAATAACGCGATCGTCTTCTTCGTCTTTGCTGGAATAAACCTAAAAAAAAGCGATTGAAAACAAAGCTCACGAAGGCTCTTACCTGGGTCACAGAATAACAATATTGGCGGTGAGCAAGAAACCATTCTTCCTCCAGTTGACGGTTCAGTCGCCGGTTCAGTTGGTGTCGGTTCGTATGTCGTGGTGGACCATTGGATCCACGACGCAGTGTCGTTTATCCATAATGTAGAGTCGGTAGACGATACCGGCAAAAATGTAGATGCTTCGAGACTGGTTTGCTGGTCGTCTTCCGGGTCTAAACACGGGCAATAACAATCGCATTCGGTACCAGCGGCCGGCATCTGCTGGGGTGGCGGCTGCAATGCCTTGATCAACGGCTGTGGTGGTGCTGACTCAAACAGCTCTGTTCGCTCTGGTTCGACCCTACCGTTTCCGGGCAGCGACAGAGAAATCGCGTACATAGGACGTCCGGCCGAATCGTCCGAAGCAATTGACAAGTTAACCCGTATACGATGTTCCGACTCCGGCAGAGGCACAATGTCCACAACTGTATCATCACCTGAGTCGCTAAGATTACTTTTGCTGTCCGTTTCGTTCCGGTAGACTATTACTTCGGCCGCTTGTCTTTTACGGTGTCGTCGCTCTGGTGGAGGCTTTTGACGGCTGCCACTACCACCGGCCTTGGCAGCAGTCCTGGCGAGAGCCTCGTACATTTGTCGGGGGAGAGCGTTATTAGGACGTGCACCAAGCGTACTACTACGGCGGTGAACACCGTTGTTAACCCGTTTGTTATCTAATACTACTAAGCCATCACCAGCAAGTACATCACTACCACCGTCATAGACACTGTCATTGTCATGCAAACTGCGTTTACTACGTTGGACGGACGACCACCTACCTGTGTTATCAGTCGTCTTGCTGCTATGATTCGATAATTTCGGAGCGGTAAGAGAATCACTGCCGTTCTCGTCGACGAGAACGGAACACGACGCCGGACCCTGATACGATAGCCGTAACATGTTAGACGCTGAAAATCAACAATGTTTGTTGTTTAGTCATAAACACCGACCTCGATTCGATCACGCCAAATTCAATTATTATTCTCACTTGTAATGTATGTCAGTGCGACGGCCATAAGCAGGCAGACGATGATCAAAGCTATGGACGTGCATTTCCACGAGCAACGAGATGCAAATCCTTTCTGGAACTGGAACCGGGAAGCGGACGAAAAATGATGTGACGACGTTGGTCGCCTGAGATTGTTTCTGACCGGCATTACCGGCATTCCCACGCCGTATCCTAAGGAGCACCTATAAACATAAAACCCATGGCTGTGTAGTATACAATCAACTCATATGAGTTAGTTAAACACCGTTGTCCGGAATTGGGTGACCAGAGAAAAACAAAATAGATAGAATAGAAAGGATAAGACTGTAGTCGAGTAAATAAAATACCACCCGTTTCCGCGGAGAAATTACCACCCGAAAATATGATTCTCCTATGAATAATGTAAGCAATTGGATAAATCCATGTGGATTACCTTACACTGAGGATGTTATCTAAAAATACTACTCCCTTAACAATTTCCAATGGCTTCACATAGAACGGGTATTTTTATTTATTTTTTAGTTCCCAGATCACGACAGCGACCCCTATTAAGTAATTTTGCTAACGACACCGAGGTATAATGGATGTTGCGTTCGTTGATTGATTTATGTGTTCAGGACCTTTGAAAAAGCGCATAAAATAGATAAAACACACCGGTACGTATAGGGGGGGACACGTGTTCACCGTGTAGGGACGGAAATGCAAAAATACCGATCAATCACAGGAATCGATCTGCAACAAATGGTGCTATATTGTCCTTTTGTGCCGGGACACTCCAATCAAGGGGTGGATAGCGGGTCAATATAACTTATAGATATTGCAAATGTTGCGTTTTATAACTGCAAAACAAAAACACATTATACCAACCTCTCCGATGATTTATGAATATCAGTCTTCGACGGACTACTGCAAGAAGACGTATTCTTGTAGTCCAACACGCTTTTCGTCATATCTAGAAACATATAAAAAAAAAATAATAATAATAATTTTGTATTATTATTAAATTCCTTTCCGGTATAATAACGCGAAACTCGTGGCTCGTTGAGCCATTAACAGAATCGTTGTTGTTCAGCGAAAAAGAATAAATGAAAATCTCATTTTTATTTTTTTTTTCAATATAACACCGAAGTTGTGTTTTAGTCATTATGAAATTCAAAGATAATCCCATCCACGAGCAAGCTGTTAATTCAACCGTATGATCGTTATTAAAAAGAAAGTGATATACATTATTAACGCTACGGAAAACGTCTTTTATTCGAATACCTACAGCTACGACACGATGTTCACAGTGTATAATAATCGAAAGCTCCCGGACTTATTTCAAAAGAAGGAAAAAAAAAGAATAAATCGTCTTTTACCGTCATTGTTTACTAATGGCGTTTCTTTTCTTAACTATTGCGCTGCACGTGGAGAGGAGTAAATATCTCGTTAAATATGTTCAGTTAAATATAAAAAAAAATTATAATAACAAAGCGACTACGAATACACGCCATAAAAATTAACACCGACATTGTAAGTGTTTTTTTTTTAATTTGATATTAATAGCGTGGAGTACTCACCCGGCTGTATATAAACGGATCCGGATGCCGTCCTTATGACGCAGTTGGACGGTTCAAAGTCTAAATCCATCGGATGCTGGTGGTCGCCCGATAGATGCACCATTGTGCCGGCATTGGATCCCGGGCCGGAACCCTTAAGCCGACCGTTCAACCTGCTCATCGTTCCGGGGTTTCTGGGCGGCACATCTGGTGGATTTCTCAAAGAATCACTGTATCCTGTGTAAAATTCGAAAAAATATAAATAATTAATATTACAATAGGGGTTTTTTTTTTTAACTCAAATGGCACGTGCGTAAACCGAACGACGTGTGTTTTTTTTTAAAATACCGAAGTCTTAAAAGAGTCTGAAAGGGGTCGTGCGACGCAAACTTTTTGTTCGCCGTGTGAGAACCGTCGACATTTGCAGCGTAGGTACCTGCCTATATTAATAATGTATAGGTAATACCGGGAACTCGGGCGGTTGCCGTTTAATATTGTATAGCCGAAAAATCGGGGGAGAGAGGCAGTGTTGGCGATAAGTTATAGTCTTAGAAAAAAAGAGAGCACACAGAGTCGCGGCAGTGTTCGAAAATCCATTTGACACCTCCGCCGATCGGCACACAGCAATTGATTTCGCCCGTAACACGGCACCACGAAGGGCGCTCAGGGTGGCGTTAGGATTAAAGCGCAGAGCCGCCGGGGTGAAGCATATAAGTAAGAACCGGAGGGCGGGGTTGAAGACGGAGGCTTGTAGTAAACGCAAAGGGCACTATCCGGCCAACGGTATTAAATGCTATGACGACGACGACGCGACGAATGGATAGGGCGCGGTCGTCGCGGATTAGTTCCCCGTTGGAATAATATACAAGATTGCTATTATATATAATATTATTATATACCCCGAGCGGAGGAGAGAGGATTAAGTGATCAGTCAAATAGACACACAACAACGCATATGAGGCGGTGACGTGTGAGTCACATGCAGAAAGACACATTTAGATTATCGTTACTATAATGGGGGGAGTGGAAACGTTGCTCAGATAAGGAGCGCTGCGCTTGATGATACTGATACCGTTGCCGAGGGTGACACAGTATTAAACAATCGGATTTAAATAAAAAGAAAATTCCACGGGTCGGCTAATAAAATAATGTTTTCTTTTGCGCCTGTTCTCTATAAATCTGACACTGGGGTGCAGTAAATAAATAAAGGGAGTGCACGATCACACGTCTCTGATCAATTACCTACCCTCCCCAATCGACGATGTCAGAGGTTTTTTATAATTCAATCACACATCGTCTCGACTCATATCTTTCACTACAATATTTTCTGATTACACTAACGCCATAGCATAATATATTTGCATAAATGTGGTACACACTCGGTAAAACTGATAGTTACCGAGTATACTTTTAAATGTTTGTAAAATAAATAATTTGTACTTGCACACGAATATAATATATGTGTGTACGTGTATATGTATTATAACGTCTAAGGTATGAATACATATTTTTTTTTTATTTCAATTTGTTATTAAAAAAGTTTACGCGACCTTTGCCGTGCCGCATATACACTCTTGTAACAGTGTGGCCTTAAAGTTTTTCAATTTATTCCAGATTTAGACATGCACGGGATCGGTCGAAGGGCAACAATGCCAAGGAAAAAGGAGCTCCGTATAACATGTGTTATATTATGAGCTAGCCAATGCTACGAGATTTCTAAAGGGTCACCGAGATATTTTCCTTTGCATCTCGCTTCACTGTTCGGCGGATAGGGACGACTTTGCGTTTGGTTTGTTATTTAAAGTTGCATTTATTCAATCCGGGCGCGTCACGTGCCACCTACCGTTTGTTAATGCTGTATAATGCACGGCACGTCGAGGTCGAGGTGCCCCGGGCGTAATGTGCTTAAGAAAAACACAGCCCGGTTACTTTTGCCAAGTATTTGCATACACACTACTGGGTGGTTTCGCATTAAATCGCACTATAAAAGACGGACGAAGCTCTTCGCCGTCAGGACAAAGTGAGGTACTAGTGACTACATCATGTATATCTTACTGCCGGGACACGTACATGTTTAACGGTATGTACATCGAAAGGATTTTATCGGATATCAACCATTGTGTATACACAGAGAGGTCCGTGTACATCGCAAACCTTGTATAACTAATCAGTTATCCATATCCACACTCGGTGAACAAGTATCATTGAAATACGCGCGTTAATAAACAAATTTTGATTTTCGGCTAAATACTATAAACGGTCGATTATAGTTTAACATAATAGAATATCAGGCTTTTGTTCGTCATCAATAACAGCGTAAGTGCAATCAACTTGTTAATTTTCAAAACCCTTGACAGTAACGCGATCCCCTCTCCTGTAGTGCGTTTTGAAAGGCTATTATTTTTTCTACAATATAATAGGTATACAATGCGCAACAGAGTATCATATTGTCTTATCGAGTTCGTGTAACTAACCCCGAAGTTGTACAGTATGCGCTTGTTGGTAATTATTGTGTATCTAGGTTGTTAAAGTTTAGACGGAAAACCATGACGACCGTCGCCGTTACACCGAAAGGATTTCGTTTAACTAGATATGTAAATAGAATATAACGTTAGGGTAACGCAGTTGACGATTTTATAAAGGTTGATTGTACGAGGTACACGGAACAAAACCCATTATATATATTTTTTTTAAATAAAAATAATTTTTTTTGTGACTTTATATTTTAACGAACTGTCCAATGAGTCGTGTCGGATGAGGGTTTATACTTTATTCTTCTTTGTGTTTGTGTGTGTGTGTGTTTTACAAAGGGATTTTCGCTTGTCGTCCAGTTGCCGGTTCGTTAGGTCGAGCGCAGGTTGTACACAAAAGGACGACACGGAGAAATTGTTATGGACTAGGTGGGTGAGGGATGTACCACTGACGGCAGTGAGGTGGTGGAATTGCCGTCGTGTCTTAACGACTTGACCGAAAACCGTTGACAACTCGATCACGTCCTAGGCTCGGCCTTTGCTCCCTTAATGACGCACCCCCCCCCCCCCCCCCCGCACTCTCTATGCGTTTCCCTGGGACGTACGCGCACTTACAAATGTCACCCTCGTGCCAAAATGCCAACCAAGTCAAACCAGCCACCACTGTTCTCTGACCTTTTGGTATTTACCTATTTTGCAGAACTGTCGTCGCCGTCACCACTGCGACCGTCGGCAATTTTGACACCGAGCCAATAATAACCACCCTCGTCGTCAGCGTTTATTCTACATTGTCTCCGCTTCATTGCCCTTCCGAGTCGACGTGTCTCGGATATTAAAATCGCTTCCCATACCTTCTCTATACACATACACTTGCTTAAGCTTCACACTGACCGACTACACTGATTTGAACAACATTTGTCTCGGTAATTAATGTAGTGCGATGTAATTAAACCACCGAAGAAAAAAAAACTACGAACATTTTATCACCAAGTAGGATGACCAGCTGTAGCTGATAATATCATAAATATTTTACTGTGTATTTTTCTAGAAACTTGCGGTGGTGCGATGATACTCTAATTGACGCGTGTAATTGATACTGACCGGTGTAAAGGGTGCACGTACACGCCACACGAGAGCAATGTGGATCCCATAACCTCTTTCTCCTCCGTCAGAGTAAACATCATGTGAAGTTTTCAAGTGTTTAATAGCGGCGAAACGCGAACCCGGGTAGAAAATTAAGAGCGCTTGCCATTAACAAATTGCTAGTAGGCGCGCACAGTGAGTATACACAATATAGAGTATAACAACCCTTTTGTAAAATTTACCGAGGGTTAGACGCGGCGGTGCAATGAAAATATAAACGGATAGGGAACGGCGGCCGGGTGGGGGGGGGGAGACTTTAATGTAAGCCGTACAGTAGTAGTAATAACACTTCAGCGAGCGGTTGTGAGGTTTTTCGCATACGACATGTATAATGTTAATCACTTGCGGACGACGGCGGCGGTGCGGTGGAGACGTGTGTGTGTGTGGTGAGATGGATGGACGGGGGACCGAGGAAATAACATAATGGGGAAAAAAAGAAAAGAAAAAAATTGTAACTTTGTGTGTGTGTGTGTTAAAGCAGCGGATCGAATAAGCGAGTATACTCCACTATAATATACACTATCGATTAGACATTCCATAAATCACGCAGACCCTTCGAAGACACTCACACACTGGCGCGCACACACAGACAACACAAACGACAGTTCCTTATCGTGTACACTACATATACATGTGATATTCATACACTATTGCTACGCCAAAGTGGTTTTTATGAACATTATTTCGGTGGTGGTGGTTTTTTTTGATAGTCTACGGTTTTATTTCATTCAAAAAACGGCCTTTTTTTTGGAAATTAATTTTTCCGCCATATCGTCAAAAGGATTCACCGGATGGACTTTTAAAAGTCCGAAAATGTCCCTCGCACTCGTTCGCGGGACCTTTTTTTAACGTAGGAAAAAGACCCCTACCGGAAAGCCCCAGAGATTTCCTGTTAATTAAAAATCACTAGGGAAAATTTGGGTAGGTAAACTTTTCCTGCGCTGTACATAGAAAAATCTAAAGTTAACAATTTTACAACAATATACGGAGTAAAAAAACAACATAAAAATACTATTAACAATATAAAATATTATTAACCATTGACTATAAAGAAAACACACACACACACAATGTGAAAATAACAAAAACTGGCTATACTTTATGTTTAAACTGGCAAAATATAACATTAATTACTACCGTGACAACATTTTCGGCAGAGGCAGGCAGCTGATAGAAACATCATTCGTACAAGTCTATTCAATGGTTCATACCCAAAACCGATTAAGAAGGTACGTGAGATGTACTAAACAAAATACATGACATTATATCGACATTACAGCAAGCCCATCAGGATTCAAAACATGATGTTTACTTCACCAAACTTTTTTACCCAGAGTACGTGGCCGAACAACAACAAAGTATTCGCCGAGAAAACATATTTAAATATTCACCTATAACCTGAAACATTTGAATAAAATGTAACACCACCTCTCGGGCGCGGTCAAGAAAATCGAATAAGGTTCACAATTCAATAAGGTTTTCAAAACGAATCAATTGAAAACTAGTAAGGCTATTTTTTTGTCACCACAACGTTCTCCGTTTACTGTCACCCAACAAAATAAATAGTAAAAATAATGTTTATTTTACACTGGACCAAACAACGTCGTCCGGGGTTGATCGTTC